AGAAAGCGAAAAAACTTTGAAAAGTTTCGTAACTTGGGAGAAGACTCGCAGAGAATGGAGAACTCTTCTTCCCTCCTTGTTTCTTGAAAGCTTGTTCCAAACTGGTCTTCTAGACTTTCTTCATCTTCCATCGTCACATCATCATCTCGATTCCAGTTTCAAATTTAGTTTGTTTGACAATTTGCAATGAAAATAATAATTGACAGCACCGTGCCAACTTTTTATTTGAACTTTGAAGCAATTCTTTATTAGTTTGTCTTTGAGAAGTGAAAGACTTTTTTGTTTGCTTACTTGTATTAAAAACAAAAAAGAAAAACAACACACGCACACATTGACAAATTTAAAAAAGTTGACATTTCTGAATTTTTCCCTTATAAAAATAACCCATTTCGAAAAATAAAAATATTGTATTTTTAAGAAGTTGTAAGAATTTTAATTTAAATTTTGTTCAGTTCTGTCTTTTACAAGGAAAGTTAACTTTTGGTTTTCTTTGAGAACATCAACAGTTTTTCTGTTTTTAAATGTGCCTTGTATGAGTAAGTGTCCCACATAATAATACAATACATCATTAAATTACTCGAGTATTATTCAAGAAAAATAGACTTGTTAGTTAACAATACAAGAGAATCGTACTTCTGTTTTTATTGGTATTTTTTTTTTTTTTTTTTTTTATACTGAAGAATTTTTTAAATTTAAATAATTTTACACCCTATTTCTGTCCATGTGTCTTGTGTGAGATAAAAAAAAACAATTATACTTTTACACATACTGATTTAACTGCTTATTATTTTATTTAACTGCTTTGAGATTTAAAATAAGTTACTACTACATTCAGGATATTTTTTTAATAAAAAAAAACATTTTGTCCGTTTTTCTACTAAAAGTCAAGTTAAAAAAAAAACTTCAAGTCTGTTCAACCAAACATTTTATTTTTAAAATTGTTTATTTTGCGGATAAGAAACTAAAACTAAGTAATAAACTTCTAAAAAGTTATTTACAAAAAAAGTACTTTTTAGTCTTTTGTCTTTCGTATATTGTTTTTAATTTTAAACTAATTATCTTTTTTTACTGTCAAATTCCTTTTTTTTTTTTTTTTTTTTTTTAAATGCACTTATTAAAAAATGTTAAAGTTTAAAAAGTTATCTGAAAATTCACAAAAAAAAAAACAAAACAAACTGAGAAACTTCTTAATTTATTAAAAAAACAGTTTCAAATGTATTATTTACAATTGTTGGTCTGCAAATTTTGAGTTTAAAATCAAAACCTGGGCAATAAATAAAAAAGAATCTTAAATAAAAAGAAAAATGCAAGAAGCGTCATTCATTCAATTTTGGTCACAATGTATATTTCTTATCTTTTTAACCTATGAAAGTTTGTTTTTTTTTTTTTTTATTTATTTTTGCAGATACCTGTCTTAGTAGCCTTTTTTTGTGTAACTCATTAGCTTTTTACGACTACTAAATTTAGAGACATTCAAATTAATTCTGTTTTAATAAGCTGCAACTGGGAGGTAAGAGAAGTGTCATTAAAAGTGTACTGTAAAAAACTAAAGTAAAAAAAGAAAAGTATCAAGTAATTAAAAAAGAAAAAAGGTAATTAAACTCTAAACTAAACATCAGGTTCGAACTTTAGGAATTGGCATCTTGATTTGGGCCAATTTTAAATATTGATTCAGTGACTGTAAAAAGTAAAACAACCTTAAGTTTTCAATGTCCAACAAACAGCGAAAAAAAAAAAAAAAATCTTTCCTGACTCGGTTGTGTGTGTGTATATATCACTCCCTCGTGTGTTAGTGTATGTATCGTTTTTTTTTTTTTACTTTTGAATATATATATTTTTTTTTTTAACTCCCGCAATCCTGGTTATCGTTGATATCCAAAGTAATTTACTTTTTACTTAAAAAAAAAAAAAAAATGTTGAATTAATTACTCACTCGTAATCACTTGAATTTTTGTTTTTAATTAAATAAAAAAAAAAAAAACATTCAGAAACTTTTAAACTAAAAAGTGTCTCACTAACATTTCATTGAAAAAGTAAGTCTTTTTTTTGTTTAAAAATGCCTTAACTACTTGGCTTGGCACTTGTTCAAATAAAAAATTGATGCTGATATTGTCACTATTGTTATTTTTTGCATAGAAATGTTTATTTTTGTCTGTTTCAAACAGTACATTAAAATAAAATCTAAAGTTACTCTTTTTGAAAAATGCGACTATTTAAAAGAAAATTATTTCTATTTAATTTAGAAGACCAGTGTTGAATATGGGCTTTTTCTTTTTAGTTTAAAAAAAAAAAAATTCTAAAAGTTCTTTTTGGGGATTAAAATGCCAATGGTATTTTTTTAAAATTATCTTTAAAAGAAAAAGAATTCTTTTTCTTTTTCTTTTCTCTTACTTAGATAAAAAAATGTTTCATTTTATTTTTAAATTATTTACATTCACAAAATTTTGGCGGTAATTAGTGTCGAAAGCCTGGACTAAAATATATGTTTTATTTTTTATTTTAATGTTTTGGACCTTTAAATATAAAATAATAACTTTGTCGTGAGTATTAATCTTTTCCTCGTCTATAAAATGAAAATGATATTCAAATCTGTTTCTATCTGTCTATCTTTTTCCTTTCTTTCTCAGTCTATCTATCTATCTAGCTATCGCAGTTGATTACTAAATTTTTGCGATTTTTTTTTTAAAGAGTCGAGCGACTCTAAAAAAAAAAAACAACAAAAAATCTACCCCGAAACTTTGGTTCTTCTTAACTAACAAATTGCATTTATTTTATGATTATGAATTATAGGAAGGAATCAAATAAAATATTTTGTTGATAAAATCTGAAAAAAATTTTTTTTTTCTTTTTAAATATAGAATTTTTTTTTTTGTTTTTAATGATTTTTACTTTTTTTTTTTTTTTTTTTTTTTTTTTGTTGTTGTGAAATATACCCTCACGGGTAAACTTTGCTGAAAGAAGGGAGGCGGGAGGTGACTCTTACTTAGTCTTCTTACCTACTTCCTTTTATTTATTTTATTATGTAACCAAATATTTTTTTTATTCAAAACTTGAACAGTCTCTTTTTAATTATATATTCGTATTTTCGTAATCCTTATTTTTAGCAAATAATTTAAGTTTTGGTTTTGAATTGTTTTCTATGCCGTCGTTGTTTGGATTTTAATTGGTAGTGTTACTTACACTAACTTACTAAAACACATACATTCTTACTTAAAATAAAGTACAGTACTTTTTCAAGGTCCTTAGAAAAGTTCGTCTCTGCAATTTTTTGTACTTATCCTTCTGGAATTAGAAAAAAAAAGCTTAAACGTTGCGGAAACTTTTGGAAGTTTATTTTTTTCGTTTCTTTTTATTGATCATCATCATCATGGTCTACATAAACACGTGAGAAAACGAAAGTTTCTTTTTAACGCAATTGAATCTTTTTTTTTTTTTTTAACGACCTACAAGTACTCACGAAACAAAAGCAAGAAAATGATCGCTAGTGTAAATGTTAATAATAATGGAAATGACTTCTTAAAATGCCCTTTTTTGTTTTACTTATTAATCTTTTAAGTTTTTTTTTTAATTTGTACTTTGACAAACTGAGACAACTACTAATTAGTGGTGACTTTTGGCGGCTTTTAAAGAAACTCCTTGCAAAAATTTTATTAAAAAGAGAGAATAAAACAAAAAATCGCTTGTTTCATTCATAAATAAAATAAATACACTGTTCTTTTTTTTTTTTTTTTTTTTTCTTTAACCATCGGCACCAACAAAATCATTGATTACCGTCACACTCATGTTTAGTTTACTATGTACACAAACCGTGAAAGGTTTTTTTTTTTTTTACACAGTCACACTTTGTGATAATGGTAATTAGCCGCTTCCTTAAGGAAACATTCGGCATGGATTGACCAAAAATGTCAGTGTCAGTTGATAAATTTAAAATATTTCTCTTAAGAAAAATTTTCAGGAAAATGGGTTCCTCAAGTCCCGTAGCTTTTTTTTTTTTTTTTTTTTTACTGTTATCTCTCTTTCGTGTTTTTTTTTTTTTTTTTCAGTATTGATGAGGTGGGGGGGTCTCCCTCCTTTAACCTTTCATTTGAAGTAGTGTAGAACGTCAACATCTCGATCGGATTATCAAATGATTATCATTATTTTCTCTTCGAGTTACAAACATGTTTTACATTTTAATTGCTGCATATCCTTACAAGTGATGTGGTTTCTCTGGTAACGATACACTTCTTTTGTTTGTAAATTTCAAGGTTACGTTCAAAGGATGGTCCTCACTCCTTACTGACATCTCGGTTTTTAAAATTCACTCAAAAAATTTTTTTTTTTTTTTAACCATTGATCGTCTTAGAAACTGGCTAAGTTGGATTATAGCTGACAGTTTATTTCTGACCAAGTTTAAGAAGCGTCATGCATGACATCCAGATGAAAGCCTGGATCTGACGAGACTAAGAAGAACATGACTTTAGTTTAGTTGTTTTTTTTTTTTTTTTTTTTTTTTTTTAAGGTTATTACCTTATTAATCACAGATCCGTTAATGATTCTGTGAAGGTAATGGATAACTATTTCCATTAAATCCAGTTTTTGTTTAAATAAGATAATTGCCACACAAACCAACAAAAGCTTTTTTTTTCGCACACTAACAGCCAAGTTCGGGAACAGCATGGCTAAAAAAAATGTTTTTCACTCTTTGACAGAAGAATTTTGATTTGTACAGTTCTTGTGAATTAAGATTAAGAATTATCTATCATGAGGAAAGAAGGCTTCGAAAATTTGACATTTACAGGGCGTAAAAAAAGCAAGATTTAAATAGCAAATAATCTACTTGCTCACATTTTGATAAGCCCTGGAATGCATAAGATAAAAATAAAATAAATTTATAAATGAATATAATCTGCTAAAAACTTTGAAATGATTATTTTTTATTTTTTTATTTTTTATTTTTGTATTATTAAAATATGACAGTTGTTCTTTTACTAATGATATTGAAGGTTTATAGCCATATTGCAAAACACCAGTTTTTGTTTGATCACTGAAGTTAAGCAACATTGAGCCTGGTCAGTACTTAGATGGGTCACTGTTTTGGAATCCCAGGTGCTGTCAGCTTGGATGTGAAGGAGGTGGGATGAGAAATTGGAAAGCAAATTGAATTTCAGTTATTTGTTACATTCACTTATGCACAAAAAAACCCTGGGAAAGGTATGAATCCACATTTCCTCCTCACCAGCTATGTAATAAATAGCAGTGCAGACTTGGTCCTATAGCCTTGGTTGACAACCAGTCTACCACAGAAAGTAACCACAGCTGCAAAGTCAGTCATGAATCAAGAGACATGATTACCCAAATGTGCATCCTGCATGGCATCTAAGGAAGCGTATAAATGTGTAGTAATTGTGAGGTGATCACTTCAGTATTTAATGACAATAGGAAACCGAACCCTCACTTTACATCCAGTAGAATCATATATGAATAATTTAATCTGGAATCAAAAAGAGACCTGATCGCCCAAGCATGCATTATGCATGGCGATTAAGGAAGGAAGAAATGATACTGATGCTTTGTGAAAAAATGCATGTCTTGCAAGTTAGCTGAATAGACCTGAAATGAATAAAGGGGTCCTATTTGTAATGCAGAGAAAAATCCTTTAATTAATCCTTCACAATCAGTTTACAATTTTGCTGACTGAAGAGATACAGGTGTTAAAAATTCTAAGTCCTATTTAGCTGAAACTATATATATAGTATTTACATTAGTCGGACTATTGTCCTCATCTTTGTCGCCATATTTGTCACAACGTTTTGGCTGTTGTATGCTCCGGCCTTCTTCAGGTGGTTGGAATTTCGAACTGAACCCTTTATTTCGATCACTGGGGTAGACTGTTCTAGTTCCACATGCAGCACTGGGGTAGACTGTGAGTTCAATCTCTGGGTCAGGCATGGTGTATTTGCTCTCAATGGAAATGGGTGAGCAATAACTGAACAGTATGCAGTACTAAAAAAAATAAAATAAAAACTGAAAAAAACTAGACAATATTACTAGATATGAGCAGTAGAATAAGAACAGTCTACACCTATAGATTAATTAGTGTTTAGTTTGGAATTCCCTGTAGGTTACCCAGATCAATCTTCACCTGGGGAAGGCCTGAGGGCACAATGGCCAAAACAATGTGGTAGCAACAACAATGATGAGGACAATAGTCTGAATATGAACTGTGTAAATGTTTCTACCGCTCATTATATTATTTAAGAATGGAAATTAATACTTCAACCAATACTTGTAAAATATTGGTATTTGATTAGTAAGAAAAAGTTGTTGCTTTAATTGGTATTTTAATGTTTATCTACATCAGTGGTTCCCAAAGGGTGTGGCATGCCTCATAGCTTCCTATGGAAGAGGATAGTAGGTGATAGGGAATGATTGAAAGATTTAGAAACAGTTTCAAAAAATTCATATGCCCAAAATAAATATTTGAAAATTTAAAATATCATTATTGATTACTTTTAATTGCGTGCATGTGTTCCATTATAAATAGTTATAAATAATTGTTGACCAATTTTATTGTGATATTTTTGCATTATATCAAATATTAAGAATGTAGCAACGAGGGTCTGCAAATTGGAGGAGAGAGTTATCAATAATAATGTTCTGACTTCAAATCCGTGGTTATCTCCCTTTAATTCTCTTTCTTTCTCTTATTTTTAAATGTACTTTTTATTATGTAAAATTTGTGTCGTGAGCAAATTTTCATTTTGAAAATGCGTCCCAGAGGGAAAAAAGTTTAGGAACAACTGATCTACATCATGTATGTGAAGATAACATAACGGTCATCAGCAGAGCATTGGTTAGATGAGTTTAAGTTCCCACCCATTCTATATTTATATTCAGGATTTTAGGGATGCTTAGGTGGGGCTTGGTTCAAAAATGGGTGGGGACAACTGCTTTAACTTTAACTGTACATCTTGTTATATTTTAACTCCCAAAGAATAATCAAACATTCGTATTAGTCATGTGAGTTGTTTATAATAATTTTTAATTTTGTAAAAATTTAATTGTGCTACAAGCAGTGCTTGACTTTTCCCTCCTATCAAAGGAATTTTTTTGGAATGCTTTCAAATCGCTGCATTTTAAATAATCTGTGCATTACTGCAAAAAGCAATTTTGCTAAATGCTTAGTTTGGCTTTTTTTTCTTGTGTAATATTCTTGTTTAAAAACTGAACTTTTGCTACAAAATATTATATATATGAATTTAAATGATAACTTAAAATTAATTATTGTTCTTGTATTATCACTTCAATGTCCTTAAAGAAATTAAGTTGAAATTGTTGGCAATCAAAGTAAATAATTTACAATTTTTTTTTTTTTTTTGGTCGATTCTTTTAAGTTTAAATATCATCTCTTCTGTGACCTTTCAGCAACCTTCAATTGCATTTGCCCTCCCCCACCTTTTTTTTTTTAATCCTACAATTTTGTTGGAGGAAATTGTTAGAACCATTAACATGGTTGTTAATTGCCACATATTTTATGTTAATTGATCATTAATTAACATTAAAATTGATGTCAGCAATCATAATTTGATTCATAACTTTGACAAAAAAATTTTTTTTTTTTTTTTTTTTTTTTTAAACCTTTATTTACATTAGCAAAGTTAACTTAAAACTTGAATGGCTTTTCCAGGAATGATAATATTAGCTGTTTCTTTATAAGGAAACATTCAGTATTCATTGACTGAACAGCTAATGCCACTTTTGGTTGAAATTTATAAAATCTTTCTATTAAACAATTTCTCAGGAAAATAGGTTTCTCAAGTTTGCTAATTGTTATTGCTCTATCCAGCATTGATGGGAATTTCCTTCCTAACTTTTTGTTTGAAGTAGTGTGGAATATGTACATGTTGATTGCCATTAGTTTCTCTGAGTTACATGTGCTATCCATTTCAGTTGTTGTTGGTGTTAAAACTCCTTGAATGATGTGGTTTCTGTTATAAACATGCTAAAACCTGTCTGTATATATATGTCTGTCGTTTCAGGATTTTCATACACACAACTCTCTCATATATATATATATATATAGATATATATATATATATATATATATATATATATATATATATATATATAGATATATATATATAGAGAGAGAGAGAAAATCATGTCAGAAGTCATGAAACACATTCTTGGCATTTTGTAGAATTTCTTCTCAGCTGATGGGGTGCATTGATTCCATTCATAGTTGGAAGACCGAAGATATTGAACAATGTTGTTTTGAAAATTACCCACAACTGCTTAATATTTGTAGCTGTAGATTTAAAAAATACTGAAACCTAATTTTCCCAAAATTTATACACAGTTTAATAGAAAGTAGACCGGAAGTATTGGTGAGGGTTTCCTTCCTAACCTTTTGTTTGAAGTCGTGTGGAATGTCAACATCTTGTTAGTTTCTCTTTATTATAGAGGAGTTGATGTAACATAAAACCATTTCATTCACTTGTTTCTTGTTAAGTTTTAAAAAATTCTCCCTCCTTATTATTATTATATTCAGATTTCTGAGCTCAACCATTTTTAACCATTGTCTTTCTAACTTACTTTGAAGCAAAAACGGAAATGGACATACCTAAGAGTTTTTGTATACTTCTGTCTTTGTCTACATATTGAACATGCACCTTCACCTAAAATACACACAACCTTGTTAACTTCCATACTCACTAACATATTTTCCATTGTTAATATTGATAAGCAGACTAAATTTTTTCCACCATTATCATGAAAACATCACCAAAAACCAACTTCAATCATTCTGAAATCAAATTTTTGGCAAACATGGCCAAACATGCTTGCAATAAGATGTAGTATTAAATTTTTTTTTTTTTTTTTTTTTTGACTCCCTTCACTCTTTGACAATGTTTATTGTTTTAAAAAGTGACGATTAGAATTGGAATAAAGCTTAAATGCGACTTATTTACAAGAATAATTTTTTACAAATATTTACAAGTTTCCTAAAAACCAACACAATTAGAATTAATGCAATATTTATCGTTTACCAATTTATAAAGAGAAAATCCTTATTTACCATTTTATAAAGTTCAAATCATTTGGCAATTATCTGATGTTTTGCCAGTCATTCCAGTAGATAATATAATAGTTGTAATGTTGTCAATTCTCAAGAACAAAGAAAATGTATAAATTCACTTTGATATATTTTAGGTTTTATTATAATTCTAATCGTCGCTTTTTAAAACAATAAACGTTGCCAAAAAAGTAAAAAAAAAAAAAAAAAAAAAAAAATAGTATCATGGGGTGGGGGAACTGTCCTTTTGACACTAAATCTTATTACAGGCATGGTTGTCCACGTTTGCCAAATTTTTTTTTTTTTTTTTTTTTTTTTTTTCCTAACATTATAGTTGTTAGTGGTGTCATAAAAAACACCATCATCCTAATTATGCTTGTCCCTCCTTTTGTTAGTGCACATGACCGTTATGTCCTGCCAATACTTTATTAATAATGGCCTATTCCATTTTGATCATGTGGAAAGAGGGGAAAGACACTAATTTGTTTCAGTGAGAAAATAAATGAAAGAAAAAGTAGGGGAGATAGAAGTGTTTACTGGCTGTTTCAGTGAAATGGAAAAAGTTATCAAACTTTTCATTTGTACCCACTTCTTAAAATAATGAGCAGCAGTCATATCTATGATTACTATTGCAATAGTTTGTTAAAGTTAAGCTCAAATATTTAACAATGACACGGGAATTTCTATGGATGTTAACTTAATTCTCATCAGAGAATTCAAATAGGAAAACCGTGAACCAGGTTAGAACTATTCTAGCTATTTAGTGGTGTTATAAAAACATCATAAATTGTTCATGAAATGAATATTTATTTCATTCTTTAAAATATGGCCTCTGTGCCCCTACCTGCAGGCATTACTGCACCACTTCGTCATGGCTTTCTTTGGTGTTTGTTGTTTTTTTTTTTTATAGTTGAGAAAAGAAGGCCATGAATAGATTTACTGGAGGCAGTTGAGCATTTCAAATTAGTTTATAAGCAGAAAACAACAATTACATGGTTTGTTATTGGTTCATTCAAGCTTTTAACTAAAAGTTGAGAGAA